CAGGGATGAGGAGAAGGAAGTGGGAGATTCAGGGCTCTGCTCACAGAATGTGCTGGTGTTTTAACTCCAGAATCAATAAGAAGGTGCTGGTCCCACTCAAGAACTGCTTAAGCAGCAGCTGAACAGGATAATTAAAGATAAAACAACAACAAAAAAGAAGGAATTTTGCACAATATCCAAGCAGATTCCTCAGCTAAAGGAAGGGATTCACCCTTGTATGCAATACAAGTGTATTTATTATAGTGCTCTGAGCCCAGCCCAGCCCAGCCCAGTCCCACCTCCCAAAACCAGTGGCCCAAACTCAGGATCTGCCACCCTCAAGTTCTCCTTGCAGTTTCAAAGAACCCAGTTTGCCTTTGGAATAACCAGGAAAAGCTGGAATCATCTTTATCTACAGGGACCCAGGGCTTACTGAAAGTAAAATATTCCAAAACAGCTCCACAAATCTCTGTTTTGGGTGGTTTTTTTTGTTTTGTTTTGTTGTGTTTTGTTTGTTGTTTTTTTTTCTTTCTCTATTTTTATTGAAACTTTGTACAGAAGTTTGAAACATTTCCATACAATACTTTGAGACAGGACAAAATGCCATGGTAAAGGAATGTAAACTGCAAGAAACACAGTCTGAAATTACCCAAATACTCTCTAATAAGAGTTTTAGTTTGAAGACTAATGCAGGAGGCAAAATAATATGCATACAGTATACAAAGAACAGTATACACAGGGCCAGCAATGCTAACTATGAAAATTTTGCATCAGATTTACTTCAAAGATTGATAGCAATATGATAATTCTATACACTAGACCAAAATTAATTTATCATACATCGTTTCTATGACAAAAAAGCTTGTCATTAAGGACAGTAGCAACTTACAATATAATTAAGCTGTATTAATCTCATTAACACTTCTAAATCTATATTCCTACTACAGTAAAGGTTTTTTTTTTGTGATTTTTTTTTGTTTTCAGCATATTGTCTTATAAGATCTTAACAGACCTTTAAATAACACTTTACCAAAAGAGACCTGGATCCATTATAGTGATCTTATCTACATGCCCATTTGGCTTATTTCCAAAAAAACAACCAAGGGACAAGGAAAAAGGCAGGTTTCAAATGCTATATGATATCATTTGGTTTTGGTCTGAAATGTATTTTAGAGAGTTTAAAAAAAAAACCAACAGAAAAAAGGCAGTTCATTAACTGGTATTTTATATAAAATCTGCAGAAAAATACAACAGCAACAAAACCCAAAAATACTTCACAGATATCTAAAAAAACATTATTTTTTTTTTCTCAGAGATACAAGGTAAAGCAGCATCACTTTGACACTGTGCTTTAAAAAAGAAGATGATGAATGAAGAGACTGCTCGAGTGAGATTAGAAAATTTTGCTTTCTTCTTGAAGAAGACTACTAACATTTTGCACAGCAACTATTTTTATAACCACCTCATTTTAAAAGCGTGAATTCCTAGACACAGAATTGTCATTTCGCCGCCAGTTTTGCTCAAAGTGTCTGACTTTACACAGTGGAACTGAGAATGCCAAGTGTCACCAGATGTCACGATACCATGAGTTCAAGATTGGAACAGAAGTGAAGCAAATGCCTTGAAACCAACAGCAGGAAAAGGAATCAAAGAGAAAGTGTTTTGTAAACAAAACAAAACCACTTTGCAAAATAAAATTTAAAAAAACCAAACAAAAAAAACCAAACCAAGAGTTCAGAGATCTCACAGTGAAATCAGAAATTCTAATTATATATGTTTTACATTCTAGGACTACTCTTTACCTTAGGCCAATTAAAGCACATTAAACCATTTAATTATATACAAACATTTTCTTTAAAAAAACAACAACAAAAAAAAATTAAAACATTGCACAGAAGTCTGCTTTTAACATCACATAACAAGGTTAGTTTTATTTTCAAAACAATTACATTTAAGGGCACAGAACATACAGAATACCAAATTAACAGATGAGTAATTTTGCTTCTCTGTACATGCTAAATCCAAAGATTTCCTTGAGAAAGCTGGAGCTTGGCAACTCCAGCTTCTTCCATGTCTCCTGTTCTCTGAAAGGGAGCAATTCCCAACACCTCCTCTATCTCAGGATTTAAAAAAATAGATATATAAAAAAAATAAAGCTGTTTTAAAGTTGTAAGCATCTCTTAAGTGCTGGCAGAGCTCCCTGGGTGGCTCTGCCCCCTCCACTGTAACCTCATGGAAATAAATCCTTTTCTCTCCTGGATTACAGGGCTCATGACTCTCATCAGAAGTCTCATCCTGGCCCTTCTGGGATCAGGGAACACACAAGTGGAGAAGTAAAAAATACACAATATAAGGAATGTACTGAAGGCCATTTTTTATTTCTTACAATCTCGCACTGTTTCCTTTCCCTAAAAGCTAATCAGGAAAAAAAATGTTAAAAATAAAAATTAAACAACAAAAAAACCAACCCTCTAAACTTTGGCAGAGAATAGCATCAAATCAGTCATTTAAAAAAACTTAAATAAAAACAGTCTCCCAAAGTGTACTATTAAACTCTCAAAAAGCCTCTATTTTTTTTTTTCTAAATTTCTTTTTTTTTTTTTCTTCTTTTTTAAATAAAAGGCTTCTACCATTTCCAGGAGCAAAACTCAAATATCTTACCTTAAAAAATAAGTTAAGGGAAATAAGAAGAAGAAGAAAAAAAAAAAAAAGCTGTCATTCCAAACTCAGTTTTCCAAGACTTGTCACCCTAAAAGCTCAAGGTGATAATAAATAAACCCATTGCTGCAAGACAGAAGCACAGCCAGCCCCACCCAGGGGGAGGAGACCAGGCAACAAAATTCATGGAACTGACTGTCCATGGTGGGAAACGCTCTGTGGTTCTGCTGCACCAAAAAACGGGTATTTAACCCCAAAAATCATCAATTTCCCCCCTCAGCAAAGGCTTGTTTACGCTATAAAAAAAAAATCCCTTCTCTTAACACAAAGTCCTTCTCGCTTGGAACCTCAGAAATTTCTTTATTTCATTATAAAGGCCTTTTATTAAGTGGTTTTATGCAGCAAAGAACGTCAGCAACTTCCAGCACCTCGACGACGAGGCTGGAGAGGAGCACGCGAAACACCTGAAGAGAAAAAGCGCTGGAGAAAGAAATTTCCTTAAAAGCTCCACAAAACCAGGTCCAAAGATGGGGTGGGGAGGCAAATTAGTAATTAATGATGACCCTGCCTGTCAATTAGCAGTGTGATTAATGTGGCAGCTCGTTAGTGTAGCACAAGGGTGAGTGAATGAAGGGGGAGACGGAGCTCCGCGGTGCGTTCCTGACGGACTGGACTCCCTCCCACAGCCCAGGATGATTTCCCCGTGGGTCTGACCCAGCAGGACATTGGGATTCTGCCTGTCAACTCTTCCAAGCGTCCTCTTTGAGGAGCAGATGACTTGGGGAAGGGGCAGAGGGATGGAAGGAGCAGGGAGAAGCCGCTGGAAGCGCCTCCTCCGGCCGTGCCCGCCCGCGTAAGGCACCCTGGGGAACAGCACAGGGGGCGATGGGGCCGAGCCAAGGGGTCCCTGAGCTAACCTGGATTCCCAGGTGGTGGCAAAGCGCTGGACATGGAGGGCAAGGAGGAGCAGCCTGGAAAATCCCAGTGCCAGCCGCTGCTCCCAATTCCAGAGGGACACGAGTCTCCTTCCCTGCGCCGAATCGGGAGTTTGAGCCGCATCCCAGCCTTGTCAAGATGATATTGTTGGACTGAGGATTATCTTTACCCTCTACAAGTTGTTTTTCATCCCACTGTGATCGAATGTTGCCCTAAATTATCTTATCCTGGATGGAAATCATTCCCTACATTTTACATCAAACCATCCTTCACAGATCAGCCCGCTAATGAAGCGACTTGAGATGCCATTAATTTCACACACCAGGATTTCACCCTTAAATAGGACTTGAAATGTTTTCCCAAACCAAGCCGTGGCTACACAAATCGTAACAAAATGTGTCTTTTCCCACTGGTAGCAACATCAACACCAAGTATGGTGACTCCTCTCTACAAATATTGCAACAACACTCAAAGTTTTCCACTTTGGAATAGTTCTACTTCCCAGCAGCAACAACTAAACCAAGTGGAGAAAAGCGCAGCAGCTCAGCCTCTGCTCGAAGTTTTGGAATGAATGAGATTTAATCGATATAAAAACACCACCAAAGCAAACAAAACCAGCCCAAAAATAGAAGTGAATCCTTTTATCTGAAAATATGTGTTGTAAATTGTCTACTAAAAGCCATGAGGATGGCACCATTGGAAAAGCAAAGTTTCTCCAGCAGCCAAAGGCAGGATTGACCCAAATTTCATCTCTACAACACGGTTCCCCCCACAGGAATTGGTTCTTGTTTGTGTGCCAAGGAAATGGTGCTGGACCCCTGAACTGGTTTAGGTGAACGCTCACAATGGTCCCTCAGCCCCATTTTGGCCCAGCCACTTCGTGCTCTCCTGAATGAGCTCAGGAGCAAAGAAAACTGGAGGAATTATTTCCTTGGAAAGCCTGGATATGAGCACTGTGCCCTGGAGAGGGAAGGAGTTCAGCACTGGGGGGCTCTGCTCCTAAAACCAGGAGCCAGCTTGGCTTGGGGAAGGATGAGAGCTCCAACTTGCTGCACACACACCCTCCACACCTGGGAACTGCTCATCCCTGCCTGGCCACTCATCCTTCAGCAGGAAAGATCCTCTGGATCTGGAGACCTACAAATAGCTGTGACTGCCTGGGAAGAATTCAGGTTTTTGGAAAAATCCCGAGGACAGGACAGACCTCAATTGCCGACACAGATTTTGGCTGCGCGTTCTCCCGACACCGAATCCCTCGGGATCGTTCTGAGGAGGGAGGGAGTGAGGGAATGAGGGAATTTCTTCACACAAAGGTCACTCGTGGGAAGAGGCTGCCCAGGGAGGGGGTGAAGTGCCCAGCCTTGGAGGTGTCCAAGGAATGTCGTGCTCTGGGCTGGCTGAGGAGGTGGGGATTGGGCAGAGCTGGAATTCAATGACCAGGGAGGGCTTTTCCAAGCTCAGGAATTGTGGGATTCCTCAAAAAATAAAAAGAAAGTTTGAGACGGTGAAAGGAGAAGTGGGAGAAGATGTGGGGCAAAAGGACTCTGGAAAACAAGGAGCACTTTCACCTCTCTCCCCCATCTCCCCTTCCTTGCCTTCTCAGCCGTTCTCCCCCCGCAGCATCCGGGATTCCTCCCAGACACAGCAGAAAAAACCATTCTGCAGGGTGAAAAACAGTTTCTCACGCAAAGCCTCGTGTTTCTCTTTTTCCCATGTGGTAGAACCTACATACAGAGTTTTCCCTAAAAAAGAAACTAATCCTAATGATGTCCTAAAGGTTCAGAGGCTGGAGAGCTGAACGAATCTTTTTGGCCATTTACTGAAATTCAAAAAATTCCACTCAAACCTGACGAAAAATTTCTTTCCCTGGAGGTGGTAAAGCCCTGCAACTGCTGCCCAGGGACATCCCAAACCCACCCTAAAAATTCTGGGGTTTTTCTATTTCAATATATTACAAACCCCACAGAAAGAATATTTCTTTTTTCTCCTCCTCCATTGACAGTTTGTCATCTCCAGGCTTGTTTTCGTTTTAGTTTTTTCTCTCTTTTTTAAATACAGAAGCTTTTCAGTAATGGAATTTACAGTGGATAAAAAAATCAAAAGACAAAAACTTCCTTACAAAGAATAAAAAAAACAAAAAGGAAAGCAGAAAGCTGTAAGAGCTATCATGTTTTAAGTGCTATAAAATGAGACAAAACAGTTTCCTGTTCTTGCCAGAAGAAAAATGAGAAAACTAAAGAAAAAAAAAGAAAAAAAGATGGAAAGCAGTGAGTGCAATTAAAAAGTGCTAAGTTGGCCAAGGTAATACAGTTATTCTATAAATGTGCATCACAGCTCTGGATTTACAAATCTTTTGACACAGCTTTAATCACTCAGATTTTACACACACTGGTAACTGATTACCTGTTATCTTCACTTAATGCTGACTGAGCTGTAACTGCCTGACTTCAAACACAGCCACCTGCCTGCCTTTGGTATATTTATACACAGAAAAACAAAAGGCTAGTGCTGCAAATGGAAACAACAACAAAAAAAAAAACAACCAAAAAAACCCAAAACAACGCAAAAGGGAATAAAGAAAAAGCCACCACAGGACAGGTTCTGCTTTCAGCAGAGGGAGGACAACACATTTCAAATGGTCTCGAAATAGGCTAAAGCTGAGTCGATCTTACAATTATAGCGTAAACAATGCCTGGGTTGTGGTTATGTTGTTTGAAAAGGAAAGAAAAACCAAAAACCTCCAGAGACCTGTATCAACTTCTGTATGTTTAAGCCATACCCTTAAAAGTTCACTATTCACTCACAAAGAGAAGTAGACAAACATGAAGATTCCAAGCGAACAGACACAGACCAGTCCGGTATTTAGTAATAGTTTAACTTTTGGAGTCTCTTCCAGCATTTGTAAACAAACAGTCTCTTCCTCAACCTCCCGAACCACTCTCTTGTTTACGTTTTTACTTTTAAAGCCACAGAACCAATCTATGAATTTCAAATGTCTCTCCCTGTCGTCAGTCCCCTCCTCCTCCTCGTGCTTTTTCTCCCCCATCAGGGCCGCCTGTCCGTTGGAATAACAATCCACGGGCGTCTCCACCTCGGAGTGGCTCACCGAGATCACCGGGTTGCTGTCATCCCTGCACGTCACCAGGAGGTTGATGTCCTCCGGCTTCACGTTTTTAATGTTCTCCTCTGACTTCCCGTTGGGAATGATGTGGTTGGCGTTCTCGTTGCACTTGAGGATGCTTTTCTCCTGCGCCTGGTACAGCTCCCCCTTGCCGGCGCTCTCCGGCACGCCGCGCTTCCTCAGGGCCCAGAACGTGGTGGTCCGGACCTGCTCCTTGGTGGGCGGCGGCGTGAGCAGGCTCACCACGACCGTCACGGCCCCGGTGATCCAGAACAGGGCCGTGGCCACGTACATGTAATGGATGTTCTTGATGAAGCCGGGCCTGGTGTCCGGCTGGTCGCACTCGGGAGCGCGGTAGAAGAAGGCCAGGACCAGCCGGATGGCGCCCAGGACAAACCCGGCCATGCCGCCGTAGAATGCCCCCTGCTCGTTGCAACGCTTCCAGAAGATGGCCATGAGGAACAGGGCGGCCACCGGCGGGGTCAGGTAATCCGCCACCTCCTGGATGTACAGGTACATCTGCCCGCCCTGCATCTCCACGATGATGGGCACCCAGGCGATGCTGATCACCACCATGAAGGCCACGAAGATCCTGCCCACGATCATCAGCTCCCGGGAGGTCGCGCTCTTCCGGATGAGCTTGTAGACGTCGAGCGTGAAGATGGTGCTGGCGCTGTTGAAGATGGAGTCCAGGTCGCTCATCAGGGCGGCGATCATCACGGCCATCATGAGCCCGCGCAGCCCCACAGGCACCAGGTTCATCACCAGGCGCGGGTAGGCGATGTTGGAGCAGCCGGCCCTGCTCCCGCACACCTGGAAGCAGTGCTCGGGGTTGATGCAGGCGATGTCATCCACAAACAGGATGCGGGAGATCATCCCCGGCACCACGATGATGAACATGGGCAGCAGCTTCAAGAAGCCGGCCATGAGGGTGGAGCCTTTGGCATGAGCGATGTTTTTGGCGGCCAGAACTCTCTGCACTATGACTTGGTCAGCGCACCAGTACCACACCGAGGCCGGGGTCTGTCCCAGCAGAAATCCGGGCCAGGGAATGTCTTCGTCCGTCGGCTCGCGCAGCATTTTGAGAGAGTCGGGCTTTGGATTGACGTTGCAGGAGTTGGCGTTGGAGATGTTGTAGGTTAGGAGGATGGAGGTGATGTTCGGTGACGCCAACATGTACCTCCTTTTCACTTCTTCAAACCCACCGACCTCCATGAGGCTTATGATCATGAGTGTGAGGGCCCCGACGATCATAAGCAGCGCTTGGAGGGTGTCCGTGTAGATGACGGCCACCAGCCCTCCGGTCACAGTCAGCAGCGCCGTCATTCCGATCAGCAGGATCACCGACAGGTACAGGTTCCACCCTAGGGACTCTTGGATAAAAAGCGCCCCTGAATACAAGTCAACCGAGAGTTTGGTGAAGATATAAAGAATTAGAGACAACGCTGCAAAATAGATTTGAATCCTATGCCCTCCGAACCGCTTGGACAAGTATTCGGGCATGGTGTACACTCCCGACCGGATGTAGACTGGCACGAAGACCCATCCCAAAAGCTGCAAAAGCATTAAGGCGTTGAACTCCCACGCGCCTACGGCGAATCCGCTCGCCGCTCCAGATCCTGCGAGCCCAATGAAATGTTCACTTCCAATATTGCTCACAAACAACGAGGCCCCGATAGCTACCCAGGTCATAGAACGCCCTGCCAAAAAGTAGCCACTGACGGTGCTCCGATTGTTTTTCCACATGGCAAAGAAACCTATGCACATTACAAGCACGAAGTACAGGGCCACAATGGCAATGTCTGCTGGCTCCAAAGAAGCCCTCATTTTGTAACCAAAAAGCCTTCGCTGACGTCCACTTCTCGCCCCCCAGCCAACGTCTCTTAAGCACCACGTGAAACCAGTTTTAACCAAAATCAACACAGCGGGTCAAATTCTTTGTCCCTTGGTTTGCTGTCCTGATGCTGGTGGCAGTGGTACATTTACTTTTCTCCGCTTCTCAAATTTGGGAACTTAGCACGCACTTTTAATCCACATTCCACAAGAGCATCAGCCTTAACTCAGTTGATGTAGGAGAAATTCTTAGTTGCAGCTAAGTTTAGTGAGGCCTACTGTACCAACCCTGCAAGGCAGCAAAGACAAAAGACAAAGATTGAATTAGAGAGGAATTTCATGAAGTAATGAGAAAAAATTTGAAGTGTAGTAAAACAAATCACTCAACACCACAGATTTTTCCCCCTTTATATTTCCTGCAATCCATAAAAGACATCATTCAATATTTGTAGGGCTAAGTGGTAAAAGCCTTTTACAAGTCAACTTCAATGGTTACAGGTACCTTCAGAGACGCAGCGATTCGGGAGGATTGACCGACCCAAATTCCCCAGAACACGGCAAACAACAAAACCACGTTTTCTTTTTCTTTACTCCAGTGTCTCACAAAGTCTCCTTCTCAAGCCACTAACCAGATCTTCCTCTTTCAAGCAATCTTGGGAAAATAAAATTAAAAGAATCCAATAACAATGGCTATGGAGCCCAAACCTGGCTCAGCATTTCCTGCACTGCATCCCCCAAATCCTGGGAGATCCTGGCACCACAGGAATGCACTTGAGGCACCAGCTGGCTGCTAGAAAAATCAAAGTGGGGTCACAGCGCAGTCAAAAAACAACACTCATTCCAAATCGGCTGGAGAATCAAGGTTATTGCACAGGTTTTGAAGTGAGTTTGTTCCTGTCTAGGGTACAGATAATCACAGAGTTATTTTTCACTTGGAAAGCTCTCCATACACATCCACGTGATCCAAGGGGGGGAAACATCCCATTCCAGCAAGTGGCAGAAGCAAAACCCCGCCTGATTTCCCACTTTACAGCCAGTAAAACACATACCCACACCCGGGGTTTTGTGGGAGCACCAGAGGCACGGGAGGGAACACTGGGTGGATTCTGGCAGCAGTCACAGCTGGAAGGATAGCAGGAAATGCCTTTCCCAGCATCCATTCCCATCCCAGCATGGAGGGGTGGAAGGTACAGAGTCAAAACTTTCCCTGTCGCCCTCTTCCCGAATTCCCAATCTCACCTGACAGCTCCCAAACATGGCAGGAAACAAAACTCGTTTTGGCAAGCAGGGCTGGAGCGCTGGACGTGGAGGGAAGGGGACAATAAAGACTTGGTGGCAGAGGAAGGGGCACTGAGGAGCTCCATCGTGGCTCCCTCATGGATTTGGGATGTGCTCCCATCTCCTGTTCATGCCTTGGGAGGTACCACGGAATCATGGAATGCTTTGTGATGGAGGGACCTTAAACCCCTTCCAGTGCCACCCCTGCCATGGGAGGGACATCTTCCACTGTCCCAGGCTGCTCCAAGCTCATCCCAAAACTGGGAAAACTAAACACTTCCCACCTTAGGGATCTTCTTCCCCATTTTTTCCTCTCCTAATGTGTGGAAAATCCCAGAGTCCCGCTCCAGCTCTTCCATTGGCAAGTGTCACCACTTTTCACTGCCTCAACATCTGCTCAGGGATCCGTGGCATTGCTCACAAATGGGATAAAACTGAACAGGATTTTCCCTCTTATTTTTTTTCTCCTGGATTTAGGCACCCTGATATGATCCTCCTGATATTATAATGAGGTCATGTCCCACTGCTTATTTTGTAGGATATATTCAGAGATATTTTTCCAAAATAATGCAGTTTTCCTATAAATGTAAAAAATGAGAATTGAAATATATTTTTAGTATGAAACTTTAGGAAGAGAAGTGATGCAGGTAATTTAGTTATAAAAATGGGAATCATGGAATGCTTTGGGATGGAAGGGATTTTAAGGCTCATCCAGTGCCAGCCCAGCCATGGCAGGGACACCTCCCACTGTCCCAGGAGCTCCCAATGTCCAGCCTGGCCTTGGGCACTGCCAGGGATCCAGGGGCAGCCCCAGCTGCTCTGGCAATTCCATCCCAGCCCCTGCCCTACCAACCCAACCCAAACTTTAAATGGGTTTAGGGAGAGCAGGACACCGGATTCTCCCATTTCCTACACCCAATGGCCATGGGAAGGGAAGACCAAAGCAAAGAGCAGCTTTAGTCCAAAGATGAGAACACAGTCCTTTAGTAGCAATAATGAGATTATTACAGAAGGTGAGGAACAGGGTCTGACTCCACTCCTCTTCGCCAGCCACTGGTAAAGGCACAAGAAAACCAACATTGGGTCTTTTTTCTGGCCATAAAATCTCACAAGTCCTACAAGCATCAGCTCCAGGCACCCCTTCCCAATTCAATCTCCGGCACGAGGCTGAAGCTCCCACTGCCCCATTAATTAATAATTAGTACAAACAGCCTGATAGCAGATTCTAATATCTGCTTGGTTTCTTGTTTACATCCCTGCCATATACTGGGTTTGTTTAAAGGGTCAATAAAACCATTTTGAATTCCAGGAGAGTTAAGGTTGAAAATGCACACGTTGCGTAGAAAGCAGCAATGGTGCTGAGGTAAAAAACTCCTCAGAGATTTTAAAAATAGCTCCCAGCAAGCCACAACTTCAACCTTAAGGAGAACTCCACCATTGTGTCATTTGTATGGTCCAGCTGTTTTTCAAGAGAAAAATAAAACATAAAAATAAAAATAATAAGGGTTCCCCCCCAGCACCACAAACCCACTTGAGAATAGAGATATTCCTTCTGCTGGAATTACAGCCAATAATGAGAGACTAAGGAGACATGGCACAAAACGGACTGATTACAGCACTGGGCTAAATTTATCATTCCTCAGAAGCCTCAAACCACAGATGTATTTTCAATTCTTCCACAGAAGAATTCACATTTCTCCCCACCCGCAAATACAGGAGTAGTTAAATGGTCTAATAGCTTAATCCAACCCAAAATTATAAACACTTCACATCAGATGACGCAATCAGAGCCAAGTTTAATGGACTATTCTTAGTTTTAAGCACTTTGGAGCAACACTTTAATAGTGTTGTGTCTTTTGCTGTATTCAGCTAATTTTTCAACTACATTATGCTTATACCAAAACATATATTTGAAGGGAAAGGGAAGAAGAGATTTTACTGAGATAAGACAAAAAAGAAAATCTCCTATACAGAAAACCAGAAGAACAGCCAGGTAAGGAAATTGTAATAATTAATATTTTTAATGTTCTGTTGTTCTTCTCATTACTAAGAAATATTTAACTTGAGTTCATCCCCCACCATCTTCCCTGTAAATTCCTCAAGTGACCTGTCACAAATATCCTATAGAGCAATACAGAAAAATTACAAAAATATCTGTTAAAGTTAATTCATTTTGATATCAGAAGTATCCAGAGTGTTTCTATAAACAGGGAATTAACAGAGAAGCTGTGGCTACCCCCGGATCCCTGGGAATGTCCAAGGCCAGGCTGGATGAGGCTTGGATCCACCTGGGATAATGGAAGGTGTCCCTGCCCTGGGGGTGGGACTGGATGGGCTTTAAGGTGCCTGGGAATCCAAACCTTTTGGAATTCCAGGATCCAGACTCCCTGACAAGTCTGTCAGTATTAGATGCAGTTGCCCTCACATAAATTGTGGCATTCCTCAATTAAGTCACTTCAGCTCCAAGGGGCTCATTCCAACCAAAATAACATGTGAAGTTCCTGGAGCGTTTTCCACAGGGAAGATACAGCCAGACCACGCACCTGAAATACCAAATTTCAGAGAGCTGAACCCTGCTTTTTGTCACCAACACCTGAGGGTTTCTGCGCAGGGCTCGGTTTGCCCGAGCTGGAAGGTGGAAAGTTTTCAGCAGCCACCACAAATTTGCTGCACTGTCACTAAATTACAGCACTCAAGTAGCTTCTTGTACCAGTTTCTTAGACCTAATTCCAAAATAACCCTGGAACTTTTCTTCATTAGGAAAATGAGACTCGTCCCTCTGAACTTTCAGCAAGTTCTGACCTCAAGTCTTACAAAGGACTTTTGAGATGCCCCATGTGAGTTTAATCCTGAGTTATTAGAACACTGAACATTGTGACACTGACACTGGGAGGGAAAAAAAAAAGAAAAGCAAAGGCAGAAAGACAGTGCTGCTGGCCAAGGACTGGGAATTTTCTTCCCTGAGGCTGTTTTCTGGCTGGATCATATCAAAGGCACAAAACAATGTGCTTCCCTCTTGTCTGGAAATAAAGGCTGCAGCTCTGGTGAAACAATTCATATGTCTCTCCAACACCCAGCCTGTTCCTTAAGGGGAAAAAAAAAATCCCAAGTAAGTCCCTAAAGAGAGATTTAATAATGTGAAACAGACCCAGGGTGGGATTTTGAGGAGAAATTTGTACCATTGTTCTAAAGGAAAACTTTCTCCACAGTGCTTTTCTAATAAAATGGGTGTTTAAAACATGCCAGAGTCCAACTGCTCCAGCTCTGGAGCCACTGTTTGTTCTCGGCTCCATCGGCTTTTTGGCAGATGGGAAATTTCTGAGCTGACTTTCCTTTTCTCCTCACCAATCCTGATGTTTTAAGGGTTAATTTTGGGATGTAGATGCCCACCTATCCCACTGTTAGCAAATTCAGTGCTTTGCTCACAGATTTCCGAGTAGTGTTCAATTATTTCTTGGAAACAACATTTTCCCTCTCCACCTTCAAGCAGGAGTATTGGAAGTCAGAAAAATAAACTTTACCTACTGCACAGCTCTGTTGTGTGGAAGAAATTGCCAGGATCATGGAAAATATTAATTCTGCCACAGAAAAATTAATAAAGAGCAGAAGTTTCATGCTTTGAGTGGGATCTGTACCATGTCAAAGTGTTTCCCAGACTCCTCTCACTCCTGGCCATGGATACACCAGTGAGTTCCTGCCTGTCCACTGCTCCACAGTAAACACAGGGCAGCCTCAGGAAAATATCTCTTAGGGAAAAAAAGAAAAAGAAAATAGAAAAGGGCAAAAAAAAGGCAGGAAAAAAAAAGGCAAAAAAAAAAAGGCAAAAAAAAAAAGGCAAAAAAAAAAAAA